CATGGAAGCTGGGGGTGGGATGGGGTGAAGAGATCAGGATACAAAGAACCTATCTAAACACAATAAAAACAATTTACAGCAAGCCAACAGCCAGCATCAAATTACACGGATAGAAACTCCAAGTGATTCCACTAAAATTAGGAAGAAGACATGGATGTCAACTCTCTCCATATCTTTTCAAAATAATATTTGTTGATCTAGCTACAGCAATAAGACAACAAAAAGGAGATCAAGGGATACAAATTGGAAAGGAAGAAAAGTCAAACGTCCATTATTTGCAGATGATATGATAGTACATATAAGTGACCACAAAATCTCTACCAGAGAACTCCTACAGCGGATAAACACCTTCAGTAATGTGGCAGGATACAAGATCAACTCAAAGCAATCAGTAGCCCTCCTATATACAAATGATGAAATAAAGAGAAAAAATTCAGAGAAACATCACTTTTTGCAAGAGCCACAAATATAAATTATCTTGGGGTAACTAAAACTAAACAACTGAAACACCTATATGACAAGAACTTTAAGTCTCTAAAGAAAGAAACTGAAGAAGATATCAGAAAGTGGAAAGATCTCCCATGCTCATGGATGCTCTTGGATAACATAATATAAATATGGACCAACATAATATAAATGGCAATCTGACCAAAAGAAATCTAGAGATTCAAAGCAATGCCCATCAAAATCCAAACACAATTGCTCACAGACTCATAGAACAATATTCAACTTCTTATGGAAAAATAAAAAAAACTCAGACTAATTAAAACAATCCTGTACAATAAAACAACTTCCAGAGGCATCACCATCCCTGAATAAAACTTCACCATAGAGCTATAGTCATAAAAATCAATTTGGTACTGGCATAAAATCAAACACATGGACCAATGGAATAAAATTAAAGACCCTGGCATTAATTCACACACCTGTGAACACCTGATATTTGACAAGGAAGTCAAAATATACAATGGAAAATGGAAGTATCTTTAACAAATGGTGCTGGATAACTGGTGTCAACATGTAAAAGATTACAAATAGATCCATTGGTATCACCATGCACAAAACGCAAGTCCCAATGGATCAACTACCTCAACATAAATCTAGTTGCTCTGAAGCTGATAGAGGAGAAAGTGGGAAGTATCCTTGAACACATAGGCACAGGAGACCACTTCATAAATATAACAGGAGTAGCACAGATACTGAGAACCACAAGAAATGAGACCTCGTGAAACTGAAAAGCTTCTGTAAGGCAAAGGACACAGTCAATAAGACTAAATGACATCCTACAGAATGACCAAAGGTCTTTACCAATCCCACATCTGACAGAGGACTGATCCACAAAATATATAAAGAATTAAAGAGACGAGGATCAAAATACTAAATAATCCAATTTTAAAATGGGGTATAGAGCTAAACAGATAATTCTCAACAGGACATTCTCAAATTGCAAAAAGACATTCAAGGAATTGCTGAACATCCTTAATCATCGGGGAAACATAAATTAAAATGACTCTAAGATGCCATCTGACACCTGTCAGAATGACTAAGATAAAAATTATGAGGACAGCTTATGTTGAAGAGGATGTGGAGTTAGGGGAACACTCCTCCACTGCTGGTGGGAGTGGAAACTTGTACAGCCTCTTGGGAAATCAGTATGGCGGTTTCTCGGAGAACTGGGAATCAGTCTACCTCCAGACCCAGCTATACCGCTCCTGGGCATTTTTTGTTTGTTTTTGTTGTTGTTCGGGTTTCTAATGTTGCTTGACTGCTTAGCCAATGTTTTGGAGAAAAATCTTGTAGTTTTCTGCCATAGGTGGATGGCCCATCTTAGACATTCCTCTGAAAAGAGTTACCTTATATTCCAGAATCCTACTGTATATCCCTAGCTATGTCTTCATGGAAGATCCTAAACTCACTGCTATAATACAAAAATTCCTGAGAGGAGATAGCTTATTTCCAAAAGTGAGTTCTGCCAATTGTCTGAGTCCCCACCTAGGCTAGTTCTGCTTCTCAGTTGGTAGCCTTCTAAGGAAGGCCTTTTGCTTTGAGTGAAAGCGAGGTGAGAAGGGAGGACCACAGCCCCAGAGGCCTTTCCTGTGTGCAGGAACAGATGTACAGCAAGGTTGTATTAGAAGCATGATATCATGATAGATTTCTTATTCCCCCTATGTCTAAAAGACATATTTTTCTTGTACAATATATTCTGATTAGAGTTTGCTGTCCCTTTAACCTCCCCAGTTCCTTCCTTTCACCCATGCCATCCAGATCTACCTCCTGGCTGATTCTCATTAGAAAACAAGGGCTACTAAGAGATAAAAAATAACAAAATTAATTAGAATAAGATAAAGTACAACTATCACATGGAAGTGTCCTGGTGGTAGGCTGAAGTGTCCTTGGAGTATATAACAAAAGAGCTTCATTTGGTATTTGAGGTAGATTGATTACCATCTGGAGTACAGGTTCCTCTAAATCAACTCCCAGAAACTCAAAGAGACCAAAGAAGCAACCATGAGGTAGGCATGGGTCTGTACCAGGTCTTCAATGTGTATATTATCTCTTTCAGTATTTTAGGAGAACTTTTATTTGTATTTTTGTGGGGCTGTTGAGTGTGTGAACAAGTGGGTCTCTGATTCTTGGGTCTTCTTGTGGGCTCTTTTACACCTGTTCATTTGCCTCATCCAATTTCAATTTGATAATTGTGATTTAAAGTCTTATTCTAATTTATTTTGTTGTGCTTTGCTGTTATCTCTTAGAAGCCTGTTATTATCTACTGAGAGATAGAAACAGAATGGATTCTGATAGAAGGGAAGGTGGAGCGGAACTGGAAGGAGTAGAGTGAAGGGAAATTATAATCAGGATAGATTACGGGGAAAATCTATTATGAACAAAAATGGAAGGAAGATTCCCTGAAAGAAAGATAACACAAAAGGGTCATGGCTCACAGAGATACACTGACTCATATTTTGTTACTTCTAGGTCATTTGATTATCAGTACTTATCCACCAACATCTCAAACCTAGACCACAATCAGCACTGAGATGTTATTGCTTCTTCCGTCGCCCTCATTTACCTTTTGATTCCAATCCCTCCATCCCTCTCTTTTTGCTTTTGTCTTCATTTAATTTAGGTAGCTCTCAGTCTCCTACACTAGCTCACCTGTTTGCCATTCCTCCTTGTCTTTATCTAGAAGTTATATATTAAAGCCCTGTTTTGATATCATTCTTTGTAGTATTCCAATAATTGTTGAGGTTAAGCAATGTCTTAAGTGTGGACTCAGTCTTCTATCGTCTGGCATCGTCTCAGGTACTATATATTATTTTTTTCCAGTTGAAGTGTGAGAATATAGCAAAGAGGTCAAGACCAGGATGCGGACACCCACTGAAACAGTTTACTTGAGCTGATGTGAGCTCACCAACTCTGGCCAGACAGGGAAGAACCCAGCATAGGCCCAAGCTGGACCCTCAGAATGTGGGTGACAGTTTATGGCTGGGGCAGACTGCAGGGCCACTGGCAGTGACATGAGGATTTATCACTGGTGCTGCTGCTGACTTTTTGGAAACCATTATCTTTGGATGGATACCTTGCTCAGCCTGGATATAGTGGGGAGGGCCTTGGTCCTTCCTCTGGGCAATGTGCCTTACCCTCTCTGAGGAGTGGATAAAGGTTTGGTAGAAGGGTAAGTGGAGGGAATGAGCGGAGGGGAGGGGATAGAAACTTGGATTGGTATGTAAATGAAAAAAGGTAGATTGATTTCTTTTAAAAAAATACTCTCATTTTTCACTCATCTGAACATACATATACTAGATGATGTGTGAAAAGGGAGACATATTTCAGAAAAACTCTCATTTTTGAAACTCACAAAGTGTGCGGTGATATACATAAACATGAAGAAAGTGAGAGCACCTTAGGGTTTTGTGAACCAATAGCTACTGCACATTTAGTTATTGCCATGAATGAATTGATGGACAGTATTGGCAACGTTAAGAAACAAAATGACCAGCCTGATCAAGATTATAAAATGCCTTTCAAGCCCTGAAACTAAGGTGTGTTTTAAAAGAGAAAGGAGGTATGCTAGAGAGGGTTTCAGGAAGATATTCAAACTCTCAGATAAGACCGCATATCAACAACATATAATTATTAATTCCGCATGATACTGGCATGTTGAACCACCTGCAAGGTAAAGTTGAAGTAAAATTGATGGGACTGAGTAATTCAAAGTATCATTCATTGTTAGCTTACCTTGCTTCAAAGCATAAGTTTTGTTGTTATTATTGTTGTTGTTATTATTTTTTCTTTGATTGAAAATGGATTGTTTTCTCATGCAACAAATGTCCCAAGAATGCTATCAAAACACTAAACTTAAGCTGGAATCCAATATGCTCAAAGGACCGGATGCAGACTCTTGCAGTCTCTGAATGTTGGCTCGGTCACGCTGAATTCACATAGGCTTTGATGAAGCTGTTACCAGGTGTGGAGACATAGCTCAGAGGTAGAGCACATGTTTTCGCATATATGAGGCCCCGGGTTCGATCCCCGGCATCTCCAACACAATACTTTTAACCTTTGACTTTTCTTTTTCAGGATGTTTCTGTGCAAGGTGTCCCATACTTTAAATTCCCGTGATGAGGTCATATATGCATAGCTAATTATTGGATGAAATTGTTCGTTTATCACCGTGACAGCAATGTTCATCTTTGTGAGGACATTTCCACAGACACCGCCATGGTCTGGTTAATAGAACGTGGGCATGCTTCCAGGGATATGTTGTGTTCACAGATCGAACAAAACAGGAAAGCTCTGCATTTGTAGTGGGGACAGTTTCTCTAATGGGTATGCTTTCTTGGGTGAAAACAAGGGTGAAGAGTTCCTGCTCTGACAGAAAGAAAGGGAGGGCTGGGCGGAGCCATTCCTGGTTACTACCAGGGAGGCAGCATTGCGGTTGTCATAGAAACCGGGGCTATTATGGCGACCATTTTCAAATGGCAACCCGACGATGTCCTGAAAGCAGCATTCAGTTCCTGGTATTTGGACTGAGTTGAGCTTATGGATTCCCGGAGGTGAGCACCAGATTCTTCTTGAAAGTTGGGAGGAAGATGCAGGGATTCCAGACGAAAGTAGGCCCACTCCTACCTCGGGGTTTGCAGCCTGTGTATCTCCGGAAGGAGACAGACTTGGGACCATTCTGCCTCCTCCTGTGCTGTTCTGTACCGGGGTGTGCTGGAGCCATTGTCCAGGAGGGGAGTTGTGGGAGAGTGAGCAGGACGGAGATGAGGCCAAATGAGCACTCTGTGATCCCGACTTCCCACTCTGTGCATGAGATTGCTCGCCCATAGGATGTGAGATTTCAGAGGGAAGGGAGATAGCAAGGCTGTCTTCTTTCCAAGTTGCAGTCAGTCAGATCTCTGGGCAAACAGAAAAGAAAGCAATTGTTTTCTATTTGAACAGTTTTAATATTATTCGAATGAGTTAATATTCAGCTATTTATTCCCAGCTTAAATTACTACTGGATGACCAGCAAGCACCTTCCTCTCCACTAGCCCCCTTCCCCCCCTCCCCGGCCCTGTCTGTACATGTCCCTCTCTGTGAAAAGCCATGAGATTGCTTGCCCATAGGACCAGTGAGGTTTAAGAGGGAAAGCCTCAATGCTAGTCCAAAATTTCCCTTCCTGTCTCAGATGATACTAAAATGCGCACTTGGTTAGAGGAGTTTCTTTTTAGTAATCTGCGGTTTTGTTTGGATTTGAGACAGCATTTCACTGTGTCCTACCCTGGCTCAGAACTCTCAGTGATTCTCCTGCCTTGGCTGCCTCGTGAAGGGGTGGCAGGTGTGGGACACGTTGTGCTTGGCACTAGTCTGGCATTTAAATTTCCATTTTCGTGGGGCCCACCCTGCCAGGTGGCCCTGATCTCTCCTCAGAATCCCTGCAACGCTGCCTATGGCCTTAATATCTCTAATGAATCTCTATAAAGGGGCGATCCTATCAATGCCCCCTTGAAAAGCACACCCGAAATCTTTCACAGGTCTCAATTACTACTTTCTGACTGACATTTGAGGTTTTGTTTATGTTTCATAGAAATGCTTTATCAGATATATGTATTACTAACTTTTCTCCTAGCCTCAGACTTATCATGTCAATTCTCATCCATGTCTTTGGAAGAGCAGGAGATTTTAAATTGTAAGATCCCACCTTCTCTACTTCTTCAATTACGGTTTTTATTTGGTGTCTTGTCTGCGAAATCTTTGCCTGGTACCCAGTGACAGGGATTTTCTTCTTGTGTTCTGTTTGACATTTATAGGCTGATTTTTATATTTTTACATCTGTAATCTATTTTGAAAGGTCTTCACATATGATACGATGTAGGTCCTGGTTTATATTTGTGGGTTTGGATATACACTTGCCTCAGCATTGCTTCCTGAAAGGCCATCTTTCTGCATCAAATTTCCTTGCTTATTTGTGAAACATCAGTCCTCCAACAATCCAATCATGGTATATATGCCAGTAATCCCAGTGCCCGGGAGGCTGCAGCAGGAGTATGGTCAGTTCTTCTCAGCACACCCTACACGCACAACACACAAGCTTGATGCCAGCTTCGGGTACAGGAAAAATGTTGACTTGATATAGGCAGTGGTCTGTAAATGTGTGGATGTGAGCGTGGACTGTTGGTTTTGGACTTTTTCTTGCCAACATTGATTCAGCAGCATGCTGGTTCAATTACTGTAGGTTCAAACAGAGGTCTCCTATCAGGTAATGCTGTTCTCTAACATTAGTCTATTTCTAAGGTTTTTCCACAAGCTATGTATTTAATCTACAATGTTTAGAGTTATCCACTCAATTTTTAAAAAGAATAAGTGTAATTTTATTGTTACTGCATTGAATCGTAAGCTCAGTTTTGAATCAACATACATCTTACTAATAATGAATTGTTTGAGCCGTGAACATAGTTGTCCTTCATTAAGACAGGTTGTCTCCAATTCAGCAATGTTTGGAAATCTTTTAGCCTGTCAGCACTATGGATCTATCTGTCGGGATTATGCACAAATATTTGTACATTTTGATTCATCTATAACTGGTATTATTTTTTTAAACACAATTCATACGTATTGTTTTTTCTGTGAACAAATTATTAAATCTTCTGTAAACTGTCAAAACCAAGTGTCTATGAAACTTACAAAGGATATTTTTTGTTGAAAGCATGTATTATCCCATGATGAAAACTTTATTCGATGTGTAATGCAGCTTGTCCCTATTTTCTTATCGGCATTTACAGGTTATTATTCACAGTCTGAAACAAATGAGAGAAATGTCCCAGAGACAAGTCCATGACCATCGTCACAGGAATCTCATTCAAACCACATAAGTTAGTAACTCTCACCATCCCATTTGTGGTCAGATATGAATCTGTTTTAACGTGATTGTACCCCTTGAGCTCTCAGTAAACACCAGGGAGCTAGGAGAGTGAGAATGAGAGGTGTTTTGTATGTGTGTGTGTGTGTGTGTGTGTGTGTGTGTTTGTGTGTGTACAGAAATTCCTTGGCAGAGGCTGGTCTGCAAAGACTGACTGATTGACTCTTAGACCTGCAGTGATATGTAGATGGTGGAAGTCACAATCCCAGGGCCTAATTACAATTTCCTTTGTGTTCTCTTGAGCCCATGAGTAGCCACTCCTTGGGCCCCCTGTGTTGGACTTACCTAACACCTTGTCACTAACAGATAACGTTGGACCTGATATTTAAAATATCAGAATATGTCTCCTTCACAACGCTTTAATTTTCTATCAGTTAAAGGACTGTGTGTCATCACATAGCAGCTAGTGCCTGTAGGTGAGATTTCTCTGCTTTACCATAATAGTCTAATTAATATTATCCCCAATGTACATAAGGAGAGTCTATAGTTTCTTCATTCTGTTATAAAAACTTCATGAAACTGTTTCCACATTGTAACATGCAATTTGTACTAACATAACCCTGTCTCACTCATGTTTACTCACAGATATTTGACTCCAGAATGAACTCTCTCTTCTTCCTTTGAGGTGAGAGCTGTGTGTTTACATTGACAATTGTTAGTGTGTGTTGTGTATATACTCATGCTTGTGCAAATATGTCCCTGGATATATATTTGTGAAAGTGAGTTAATCACTTACTGCTGTGATAGGTTATGTGTTATATTCTCCTGGTCCTCTTCTATGATGACCTGATGTTTAGTATACTGCTTACTTATCTCCATAGTTCTTTACTCATGTGCTGACTTACATCAGTATGGTTTCACCAGCCAAGTTGTTACAGCACTGCTTAGATCCTCAGATGAGTAACAACTCTGATCTGCTAGGAGAAGCTTTTCCAGTTCTGCTCCCCGCTCCTCCGCTCGTCTCCAGTTAAAGTCATTGCTTCTCTGTTCTTCTTAGGCAAAGAAGGTCTCACCAAGCCTCATTCAAGAGATTCACTGAGAGGGAAGAATCCAGGAGGTGGCTGTCCCTGCAAAGAGGGAAAGGCAGCTCCCAACTGAACAAATACAGGGTGATTTCATGCTCAGTGATCAGCTGGTTTTCCTGCTCAGGAATTCGTTGCTTTTTTGCTGAGATATTGGTTAGTTTGTTTTGCCAAATTGGCAAGTGGAAGAGTGTGTTTCTGTTGCTTTGGTTTCAGGGGCAAAGTGTGTTTATTTCACTGGCCTTAAACGTTGGGCTCTGGTTCCAGGGCCAGTGAATTGATTCCAGTCTCAGAGTCAGTGTATTTTTGTTTTGCTCTGGTTTCAGGATCAGGGTGTGCTGCTTTGGACAGAAATGGGTGTTGTTTTCCCTAGAAAGAGATATGCAGTCCATTGTGGGCCACCAAATAAGTGCTGAGAACCCAGCCCAGGTCTTCTGTAAGAGCAGCAAGTCGTCTTAACCATGGAGCCATCTCTGAAGTCCAAGTCATCAAATAATAAATGTAATTAGTATTTTTCTACTTTGCCCCATAATGACAATAGACATCTTCTTATACTCAGGTAGGTTCAAGTTTCATTATTATTTACCAATCCATAAAATTTCATTTCTATATTCCTTAGGTTCTCAGTCCCAACCACTGCCCTACCCTGTCTGCAGGAAAATACAACAATCTGCCATTATAGACAAATTTGTATATGCTGGAATGTATTAGAATAGAACAAGAGTTTAGAGACATCTGGCCTTCATTCATCTTGCATATATGTTTAAATTTATCTATTTTGCTGCCCATGATAATTGTTCATTCTTAATATTAAATAGTGTAGCAATGTATAGCTACATGACAAGTTTCATACTTTAGTTTGATTTCATGTATATAAATGTTTGCCTACATATAGGTATGAAGAGCACATGCATGCCTGGTGCCCATGGAAGCCAAGAGAAAACATCGGATCCTTTGGCACTGGAGTTACAGTTGAAAACTGCCGTTCTGGTTTTGGGATATGAGTCTTTGCCTGTTGCCTGTTGCTGAAGTTGTTTTGAATTTTAGTGTCTTGTATATAAAGCTGGTGTGAACTGAAATAAATGAGTCTTTAAAAGAAAATATGTTCTCTTTCTCCAG